CTCGATCTGTAGGAAAGCTGAGGGAGCCGTTTTGCTTACCGCCTGGACGCTGAACACGTTCAACTGCCTGCTCTCCATCATCTTGTCCAGTTCCTCCTTGCTGACCTCCCTGCCCACCACCTCTATCTACCTCTGGATTTACACGCCTCCCTGTGGCTCATCTCTGCGTTACTGTAGCTGAACATTGCCTCCTGCAGAGCATTGCTAAGATACTGGTACTTAAGCAATGAGCACTGTGGGCTCAGAGCTGCCACGCTGGGCTTCAAGTTCCCCTCTAAGAGCACTCATGTGCAGCCGCTGCAGCACAGCTGCTCCTTTGCATTTGCCATCCGCCTGCTATTGCACTTTCATATAGTCGGGGGACTTGTGAGTTAACACATTTTCATCTTTCAAAACAAACAAGCTTGAACTTGTTCTTCTGTTAAATGTTTCCTGAGCACTGACTGAAAACACCAAAGAGGCCTGAGCTCAGTCAAGCACATAACAATCTTATATCTTAATCTTATAGGCAGGAAAATGTCAAACTTTTGTAATCAGTATGGGCAGCAGGGGTGAGCACTTTCTACCTCTTCAGTATTGTGTAATTTTAAATGAATGCACTTAATCTGCTGGGACATTTAATCTCCCTTCAGGATTTACCGAACAAGTTTTCAGGCAGAACAGTATAGTATGTCATCTGGTTTTCTGTAAGTGGTTCATACTTGGAATTTAGGTTCACAGTCTGACAAAAAGCAGTCAAGATGCAGTGGCACAAGGAAGTTTAGTTTGTTGATTTTTACAATAGAATAATGTATGTTTTTCATTATTTTGGCACTTATTTTCCACTTTTCCACAAGAATGTGTGTGAAGAGGCCTCGTTTGTTTTTCTTGCCTGTATAGTATTTTCTGTGACGTTCACATGTTTCTATATTTTCAAGGCAGCTGTTACTCAAGAATGTTTTCGTGTCTTAATAGGTTTCTATGTATTTTGTCATGTCAATCAACACTTAAGGTGATGAAGGTTTGTGAAAGGGGACTAATGTTAAGATAAGGTCTTGAGAGTGGGAAAAAAAATGGTATATAAGATACCATCAAGGACGGAAGTCACCAGACACTGACAGTGGACACCAAAAGCATGTGAAAATTCTTTCAGATACGTTGTCTTCCAACTGGGTGGGACTGAAGTGTTCAAATGGGATAACAAATCATGACAGAAGTCTTGCAGAAGTCAGTCTGCTTTGCCACTTTTACAGTCAATCATCTTTCATAAACTGTAATCTCACCAAAGGCTCCTTCTCACCCTGCATGCAGTGAAACCTCAGGTGATTATCAGTCATGCTGCCTGAAAAAGAAGGGTATTTAGGGAAAACGGATGGTTCATGATGTGTAAGAAGCTGTGCAATACAATACTCATTTCCACAGTCAGCGGTGGTGTGTATGTGAATAATCATTTCCACCCGCCTCCATGAGTTTGAGTCATACTGGCTTCTTTCCTCAAAGGGGATTTTTAAGCAAACTTGGTGTTACTAAGCTGTAGATGCACACTCCTCTAGTGTGTAACGGACACTTCATTCTGAAGAAAAAAAGACCAGCATGAATGAGGCTAAAATATCCCCCCAAAACCACAATATAAGCCACAAGCAAGTGTACAATGTTGTCTTCCTGTTTCATTTATGCCCCTATAGTGTGAATCATGGTCAGGAGTTAGCATGTTCATACAGTTTACCTGGTTACTTGTTTTCCACAGGAAAAAAGCTTTTACAGATTCTCAAGGCATAACACTGAACTAACACAATAACTTTTTTAATAAAGTTAAAATATTTAATCATAAAATACTGTTAATATTTTCAAATTAAAAACCTAAATGTTCATGTGAACTTACAGCTAGTTAAAACTCCCACCACCAGATAGCATCCACTAGTCACAGAGTCACACATATGGACTCAAAAGCTGGGGAGAAGCAGGCTGCTATTCACTGTGCATGGCACCTGGCATTTCAGGGCAGAGCTAGGAGACTGTCTGTTTACAGGTGTTTGGGAGTAATTCTGCATATGTACAAAAAAAGCTTGCTTTTTTCTAACTATTAAACTTAGCTTAAACCCGGTGGGTCTATTTTTAATGGAACTTCTCTCCTTGCTCTGCCTAAGAGTTTCTGAATATTTTATTTTCTGTGACTACTTCTGTCATCTTTTTTGTCATCAAGAGCACCGTGAAGTTCCCTGCACACGTGAAACTGACTTGGCCTCTTCAGTCTTCTTTGTTTAATCCCAAAATCAGAGGATGCTTTTATAATTCTTAGTCTGAAATTCAAATCTGAAATGTGTTCTTTAAAACTGAGGTATGTGTACATTGGTGGAATACTTATTTTGTCCAGCAGATGTCAGTAGCACAACAGTAGTTTAACAAAACCTGCCCACTGTTTTCTTGTGATTATTTTTATTTACTACTAACACTGGAGGTTAGATTAAGTATGAGAGCAAATTATGAGACTCTAAATACATAATTTTAACATATGTAGTCAATCATGGCACTTTTGTTTATCCATGTATATCATGACATACAAAAGTGCCCTCCTGTCTTTAAATTATATATATTTATATATATATAATAAAACCAAAATCAAAGGCTATAAGCTTTAAAACTATATGTGGAGTTGGTACTTACATAGATTAATTTACATTTTACAAGTATTTATAATTACTGAAATACAAAGACAATGGTGTATTGAAACAAAATCTTTATATGTTAGAAACATCATACCAGGGTTAGCTGGACAAATCCCAGAATGTGAATTTATTTTAAACATAACACATTTCCATTCATCATGCCACCTTATTATATCAATCAATATACTAAAAAAACTGCAAACCTTTCTGGTTTTCTATTAAAGCACCAAACACAACCCCCAAAACATTATAAGGTGAATGTTCTAGTTTAAATCTAGTTATGTCTTTTTAGTCAGCTGGTTCTGATTTGAGCAGCATGTTTATTTTAATCAATAAACTGTGTTACACGAGTTTCAGATGTAGAATTACCAGTTTACCAGTCAGGAACTAAACATGTGATCAGGTGAAATCTAAGTTCGCCTTGTTTACACTCCACTCAGAGGTCAGGACTGCTAGACTGAGGTACAAAAACACTGGGAAATGGTTAGTTGTGAATTTGCCAAGAATGTTTCTTTAATTAAGGATTGTAAATCTGCTAAAAACATGAGGACAAAGTCCTTTTGTGCACTTGGAAGCTTAAAAGTAGCACATTTTGCCTCTGGTGTCCCTCCACCATGCCAGAATTCTTTGCCATTCCTTTTTTTGGAGATAAAAAGGTTTACCTGTTTATTATACAGTATGTCTGTCATCAAAACTCTTATTACATGATCAGAGTTACACTAAAGTTTGCAAAGTCAGATGAGCAATAAGCATGACTGACCCTCTTTCAGACTGTTTTCAAACGTTACTCAAAATATTGTTGGAGTAATTAGAAATTAAGTTAATTATTAAATGCGTATATTTATAAATATATCTATGTCCATAAGTGTCATCTCTGATTTAAACATTTTTTCTTTTTGCTGAAACTATTTACAACAATGCAAATATTGTAATGCAAAGTCTGTAGTAAATGTACCATTATTAAAATGTTTTGACTTTGTTCTCAAACACATACTGTACAACTGCAAAAAGATAGAGATGAGGTGGAGGATGAATAAAATCAAAACTCTGCTGACCTTTATGTTTTATATTCCAACTTTAAGTGCAGAGCAAGTCATTTTAGTGAAGCATAAAAAAGCACTCATTCATCAGATCTGAATTTCAGCCGTGCACTTATATTTGATACTATGAAACTACCAGGTACAAAAAAAGGACATGCACATGCATGCAGACTGACTCACTGAGACCCCCTGCGTCTTATTACATTATACTGTATTTATCAGGCCTTAAGAGTTAAGTTGCTGTAATCGGTGGAGAAAACATCAGCTGTTTCTTGTTATTCAATGTTGTGAATCTAATAAATCCAAATTATTGGCTTCACACAGAGTTTCACATAACAGAACCAGTGTCTTCGAACATCTAATCAAATTAACATGAATGTCTGTCATGGGTTTGGAGATGTTTCTCGGCTCAAGGATTTCCCATGTTCTCATTTTGTTCAGTTTAGGTTTGGGCTAGGACTTCGTTACAGAGAAGATTTAAGTGTATCCACGTATAAAGTCATATAACAGTGAAGTGTTAGACCCTTCAAAACTCTCTTTATTGTCTTGAATTAAGATCTTTTCTTTATAATGAGTCAGATTTTCTTTGACTGAAAACGACATGCACCCTAATTTAATGAGCATTGATATAAAGACAAAGAGATGGCGAAATATTAGTAAAATTATTAGCTAGCTTTATATCTTTGCTGACACTAATTTTGACAGCAAACTTACGAAAACAGTGCCAGGAAGGGAATGCTGGGTTATGCTCCGTTAAATACCACTATTCCATTTAAGATTAGTTGGGAACCATAGCTCAATGGACACAACTTTTCGCAATAAAGCAAATAGGTATATTTCTTAAAATGTCAAACTAGTTAACCTAACCTTTAAATTGTCACCCATCTCTACGTATGATCTACAGTTCTCAATTTGATACATTATATTTGTGCCCCAATAATAACAAGTCTTATCTTTCCATATTTTATCTAGTAATAAGTATTATTCACATTCATAAACTTAAACAGTCTTGGCCACAGGTAGTCTCAACGACTGTAACGACTGTCGTCACAGCAACAAGGAACACTAACGAACCAGCGGTATCGATGACCCGGGATAACGACCCCACTGAGGTTAAATAGCTGAGTTTCCCTGCCAGTCAGTCAGAACTGAAGAAGTCCTTTGGATGAGGGACGTAACGTCTTCCAGTATCTTCAACCAAGTCCAGTTGCCCTTCATTTTAACCCTCGTTGGATAACTATGACCTGGATGACTGAGAATCTTCATAGACATTCATAAAAAGCATGCATACAACAGTGGAATCTGTGGAGTTTTAAGAACCTTGTAGCCCTTTGAGATTTGTTTCAAATGTAAAGTGCATTAAAAATAAAATGTATTATTATTTTTTATTATAACCACTGAACATATACCAAAAACAAACACCAGATCAGCTCAATAACACGTCAGTTCCTCCAAAGATTATGAACAGAACACTCAATGAGTAAATAGATGGCAGATTACAAGACAGATATAAATAGTTTATCCCTCTAGAGTCTGAAGTAGGGCAACTTTATTTAAAGGTCAAGCTTTTACAGCAGCTTTGTCTACATCAATCAAAGCTCTTGGACTTTAGACAACCTGTCAGACTGTTTTATGTGTTGTGCCCTGCTCATGGTATTCTGCCCACATGTCTCTGTTTAATCTCCAAATTACATTACATGAGTTTTGCTCCAGAGTTACATTTGACTAGTCATCTGATTTCCATTTTAAATACTCTGATAACTGTCATAAGATGAAAGCTTAGAATATTTCAAAGTCAAGAAGTTGTCTTTAAAATGGGAATCAACTGAGTTGAGATATATTTTTACTGCAAGTATATAGTTTCATAGACTAATCAGAAAATACACAGCGTATCCTGTACCTGTAAATCCATTAAGATTAAAACATCAAGCATTTCAGGATGACAGGACGAGTATTTAAATATACATGATATATCCTGATGTTTCTGCTTTATGATGCTTTGTGAAATCAAACCAACTACATTTTCCAAACAATCAAATTGTGTGTCCTAAAATATTACCATTAAAAATCCAAAACATAAAATATCCGAAGAGTAACAAGATTTTGCAGTCCACAGATTAATTGAATTAATCAGGGTACTTTTTTAACGGTTCAAATATAATAATTTGACTTTCAAAATAACAGCTCTTTCTTTAGAAATATTAAAATAGTTGCTGGATTTTATATGTACCACTTTCTAGATATCTAGATAATTCATAAGCCATTGATTCGAAAACATTTTTGGGTTAGCAGGTTGTGAAAAACCCCACTGGCAAGTGTTCATTCTTTATATTTGGTAATAATGCAGTTATAGTGGTTGGTAATACATTAATAAATGCTCATGAGCTTCTTATAAGCCACTTAGTCTGCAGTTATAAATGTTAGTAAGGTAGCTCACCTGCCAGAGCCATATGAATCAAGTGCTGAGCATGCTGAGTCTTTACTGCAGCAGCTCGGGTTCAAGTCCGCCCGGGTCATTCACTGCATATCAGCCTTTCTCTCTCTCTCCTTCCTTTCCTGTCTCTCTTTACTCTGTCAATAAAAGTAAAAATGACAAATAAAAAAAGTAATTAGCTTCTACTTATCCCTTTTCCTTCTGATACCTTATTAGAAAGTGGCACTGACATTTTATATAGATGTCATTGTATTTTGTACTATTCCAGTTTGAAAAAACAACCACTGAACATCAAGTTGTTCTAATCTGTTATGATAAGTGTGCACTTTCTTCACATTGAGGACAACTAATGTCCCACCAGCAGTTTACATAAACACATTAATCTAAGAGGTGATGACTTATTCCCTGATTGACCAAGAACCAGCAGCATCATCAGCATCCACTTTTCACAGTCATGGCAGACCTCATAATGAAATTTGGTTGCTCATTTGTCCGACTAAATGTGCAGCTCCATCTTCCCCCTAAGAAGTTCAAGTTCAGGCTAATAGGTTCTGGGTAGGTTTTAAATACTGATGAATACATAAAATGTGCACAAAAGAAACAAAAGGAGAATAAGAGGTTAACTTTATTTATGACCAAGATGCTTTCTTTCATTTTTCTTCATTATACAGTTTGTTTTTGGACTTTTATTCACATACACTTAAAGTTATGGATACAATTTAGCAGCACAACTGTGTAGCCATTTTCCTCATTTCACACAATCAATAACTGACCATTTGTTTTAAGTATCTTCTTAAAACAAATGGTGAAAAATTATAAATCTACTTTGCAAATGTGTAAATCACCACACAAGAAGAGAGCGTTTTGCAATGCAGCCTTTAAGTCTGTTTGCATTTTTAAATCTTTGACAGTAGCCTATTTCTGAGTGCTGTAACTTCAAGCATATCAATGCCCAGAGGTGAAAGTGTACAGCGGTGCAGGTCCATGCTTGTTGCTCGGACAGTTGTTTCAGTCATTTGAGGACATGCTGGGTTTTCTCTGCAGTTGTTTTTTTTTTTTTTTTTGATGCAGCGAGAGGCGTGCCAGGACCAGTCGGACCAGGGTCGGCTCATAAGATTTATGTGATCCAGCAGGGAGGTGTTTGGCTAAAAAAGACTTTCTCAACATCCGGGCTGCACCATTTGAGAGCTGACTGCCTCTCACGGAGCTACCGATTTGCTTTTTTTCTGTGCACATTTGGGATATTTCCATCACTTGTGCGGCTCATTCCGGATAGTGACGCGTTGCAGTTCCGATAATGGGAGACGCTCAGTCTGCGCAACGAGGGGAAAAGAAGGATGCAGCGGCAGAGGAGGAGAGCGGAAAAGTGGATGATGCTCAGGAGGAGAATATTGAAGAGAAGGTATCATTTTATTTCCCAGAGATCCCGATTGTTGACATACGGCAGGCATCTCCTATCACGTTTACAGACAAACTTATTTATGCGTTTCCTTGTTATTAAGGTTTTTCCATAACTGCAACATATTATTTGACATGAAACCTCTTACATTTCCAAAACCAGTCAGTGGTCGTTGTGTGAAAGAAAAATGCTGAGGCTGGATTTTGTTGTTGTTGTTGTCAGGACGGTGCAGTTGCTGCATGCCAACACATCCATTAAGCCCAAGATAAAGAAGTAAAAAAGTCTTACTTATTTCCATAAATGATGAAGCACACCAAGCTCACTTTATTCATCCATAACTAGCAATTTTTTCCTTGTTACACATAAAAGTTGTTTTTTGTGCCAATTGTCTTACTCTGTCAAAGCTTATTAAAACTGTAAATATACCCCCTTAGTTAATGACTTTTGCTTTATTAGTTTGAGAAACATGAGATGTTGCAATACTTTGCATTTGCTATGGATGAAAAAGGAATAGCATGGAGGAATAATGACCTTTCATTCTTAGAGGAACCTAAGTAAAACCCAGGGGAGAGATGGAATTTTCCCTTTGCTTCACTCAGCAGACGGCAACATTGATTATTTGTGTAAGCTGTGTATGTGATCACTGGGTTACGCAGAGCAGGAAGTCCATTAGCCAGCACCGAACTGTGAAAATGTAGCTATTAATGTATGTGAGTGATAATTATGATATTGTGTTGATTTAATGTCATCTTTGACCTTTGTGATCTGGGCGATTACACAATTTGGTTGGAAAAGGGATTAAGTATGCAACTGTTAAAGGAAATCCTTTCATTTTGAATAAAGTCTACCATCTTAAGTTTTCAAGTAAAAGAAGCAAAAATATTTTTTTCCAATCCCACTCTGTAAAATAACCTAATCAATTGTCTTTGCAAAATAAATTGCAAAAATAATTGATGAGCTATATGTTGTGTCAAACTTATTGGCACTTCTGATTGCAAAAGCTATTTCAAGTCTCCAAAAGTTGGGTTGTATTTCTTAATGGTTTTACTCAAGGTAAGTTCCACTAAGGGGCATTCAACCATTTTAGTTCAGCATGACTGAAAACAATATCTTAAGAAAAACTTTTCACTGGAAAACCAGTTCACAGGCATCCATTGTCATATTATGGATCAGTTGGCATACACTCATGTTTCAATGTAGAGTTATATTTTAACAGATTATTCAAAATTATTACACACAAAGAGTGAGCAAAACTGCTCTGTGTGTATAATAAAGTGGCAAAACATGTAAAAAAAACAACCCCAACAACCTTGTCTGGAATTTAATCCAACAATGTCTTAGAACGCATTTGTAGGTGCACGACCTAACAGCTATTTACTGTGTTACTCCAAACTAGTTGAAGGACATGTGCTTCGTGTTCCCTTTCTGCTGCTCAGACTTTTCCAGACTAATCTGGCTCACGGATTTGAGGTTGGGACAATTAAGGTTTTTTAACTGTAAGACGACTACCACTGCATCCGTCCAACAGTGACTGTATTAGGACTTTGGATCCCTAGTTAATACTGAAATTCTTTCTTTGCTTTCATAAAAGTATTCTAGCTTTGAGCATATGAGCAAAATGGTTGTGTCACTGATTTGAGCTTCCATACAATTACATTTTTGCTACACGAGCAAATGTACATTGTACATTCTGTTTTATGCTTTAATTTCAGCCTCTCAAAAACACTGGGCAGATCTCTGAGATCAATGGAAAAGCAGACTGCTCTACAGCAGAAGTTAATGGTCACTGTAGGGATGAGATTGCTGCAGAGGGTGGGTACTAATTTGTGTATTACTGTTTATTGACAGATGAACTTCTTGGATTTCAGCTAACAGATTTTTATCTCTGTCATCAGTCTTTTACAAGTTTTACATTTTTAATGTTTCATTTCTTTCCTGATTTAGCTTTCCTTTTATCAGATGGGGATGTTTCTGAAACAGGAAAGCCACTTAAAGAAGATGAAAGACCATTAGAAAATGTTGAAATTAGTGAAAATAATTCACCTATGGAAGCTGATACTAATGAAGATGTGCCCCTGGAAATTGATGCAAAGCAAAATGACATCAATGAAAGTTTTAGGAGATTTTTCAGTAATATTGGTTTGAAATTGACTGTAAAGAGGGGCTCAGGTGAAACACCAACAGATGAGCCTGACAAGAGCAACCAGGAAGAACCCAACAGACCAGAAGACATTGAGGATGCCACAAAGGAAACCAAACATGAAAATGCTGAACGAAATACTGATGTGAACATAGCACAGGAGACTTATGATAATGATTCGGCGACCTGTCATACCCTGACAGACATTACATCGGAGGACGTTTTAGAAAATGCAGAGGAGCAAACAGCAGAAACCAAAGAAGTTGAATCTGATAATGCAGATGCAGCAACAACTTCACCTGTAGGAGAAGACGCACAGCAGGATGCCACACCCGAAGAAGAGCCACATTCCACATCTCCATCTTGTCCTGAAGATGATGTGGTCATATCTCCAATTAAAAGATTTTTTACAACCGGAATCTTTTCTGGACTACGTAAGAAAAAGAAACGTGCAGAAGATGAGACAACTGAGAAAGAATTTGTGGACATGGCAGAAGTCGTACAGATGACAGAACAAACTGTACAAGACCAACAACACGACAAAGAGGAGATTAGTCAAGGTGTTGAGGCAGCTGCCGTTGAGACAGAACATAAAGATAATGAGCTTAAAAAGGAGATCCTGTATGCAGCATCAGCTCAGACGACGGATGAAGAGAAATCACCTACCAAGGATCCATCAACCATTATTATCAATGAGTCTGAAATTCTGAGTTCTCAAGAGAAGGACAAAGTTCATGCAAGTCCTCTAAAAAGGCTGCTGTCAGGGTCTAGTTTAAAGAAACTCTCAAAAATGCAACGAAGCAGGAAGTCAAGTGATGCAAAGCTGTCTGACTCTGGAGAACATGTTTCAGATCAGCTCATATCATCAACTGAGTCAGCTGAGAATCAGAAAGAAGGTCCTGCACAACCCTCTGTAGAGGCAGCAGGAGAGGAAGATAGTCCATGGGCTTCCTTCAAAAAACTTGTGACTCCAAAAAAGCGCATGAAGAGACCCTCCGTGAGCAATGAAGAGACACAAATCCCGGGTTCACTGGAAGAACCAAAACCAAGTGAAGGAGAGCAAATTTCAGATCACAGCACAGAAGAAGGCAAAAAAAGAAAAGACTCATCTGTTTCATGGGAAGCTGTTTTATGTGGATCTGGAAGGAGAAGAAGCCGAAAAACGTCAGACTCTGAGGATGAAACACCTCAAATCGATAACAATGATAATAAGAAAGATGGTGGATCTAAACATGGTGCAGAATTGCTCCTAGAAAGTTCTTATGAGACTGACAGTGACATTTTAGCTTCTTCCCCCAGACAAGCAGGAAGTTCTTCAGAGGGTGACGGAGGGTCAACATGGAAATCATTGAAAAGACTTGTCACCCCAAAAAGGAAAGCCAAGGATGAGAACGAAAGCAAAGACAATGAACAATCTGATAGTGAAGTTACTCACGATGAGTCCTTCTCAATAAAGAAACTCCTACCGGGACGAAGGAAGAGGAAGTCTGCCGAAAAGCAAGACCAAGTATCTTCAGATGAGGCTGAAAAGGATGTAGCTTCAGATGATGAAGACTCTGACACACCAGCTGTGGTTCCATTATCTGAGTTTGATACAGTTGAGACAGAGGTTCACATACAAATATGGGCAGATGTAGAAAGTCATTTACCCGAGGAAGCAGACAATGAACTCCAGCAAGACCTCCTTGATAAGATGACTGAACCAGTCCTGCCTTGTGACAGTCTGCAAACTGAAGCAAAGCAAGTCCAAGACAATGATGCTTTAGAGAAACTGGCATCTACAACCCTTGTTGTAAAGGAAGAACCTGATGATCTAACAGAATCAGTCAGTAATCATCAACAACTCAGTGACATTCCAGAGGAGGGCATAATTACAGAGACCATGGTCACTCCAGCTTCAGTCACCGAGGAGGCAGCTAGAGATGACACTTTAGCAGAGGACCTGATAGAGATCACATCTGAGGCCATTACTGCACCAGAGCCTGCCTCAGACATTACCTTGGCAGATGAAACGGAGATGATCTCCGCAGTTTCCCAGTTATCTTCAGAGTCGTCAAAAACATCCGGCAACACAACACCAGTCCCAGCACAATATGACGCTATGGAAACAGATGTGATCCTGCATCAGGTTGTTGAAACCATCTCCATAAGCGCAAAGGCAGTCCCAGTTTGTTCTGTCTCACATCAGATACTTGAAACATTTGAAAAAGAGCCAACAATTTTGGAAATACACAGAAGATTAGATGCAAGTGCCATTAACACAGGTCTAAATGTTGAAGAATTTGATGCAATTAATGAACTTACAGCTCAAACCGAGAGCATATCTGAAGTCAATTACTCTGTTTCCACAGAGATTGTATCTGAGGTTCATACTGAGGAGTTTGATACTGCTGAAATTGCAGTAGATGAAGTACATTTTACAGATCCAGAAGAAAGTACTGGTGAGAGCTATGATAAGGAGAAATGCCTATCTGAGTTAAATGCGTCTGTGTCGACAGATACATTACCTGAAGGTGAAGAAATGGTCCTGGATGAAGGTTCTCTAGTTGATGCACATCGAGCTGAAACAGAACCCGCAAAAATTTACTCTCAAGAAACAGGTTCACCTGCTACAGTATCAGATGAAACTAAGGATGGGGCCAAGGAGCAGGAAGTCCTAACTCTGACAGAAAAGGAAGATCAGATCATGCAAAATATCACTGGTCAAATTCAACTTGAGGATAAAGATCAGCCACCATTAGAGGCGGAGGAGTTGCAAGAATTAGCAGCTGTACAAGCTGCCACATTAGATTCAGAGGAGCGTAGTGTTCAATTGCTTGAAAAGGAAGTAATATCAGAGGACATACGAGCAGCCAAAACAATTACATATGAACCCAAAGAGGAAACAGTGCCTCTAAATGAAGTCAATATTGATCCAGAAAAGAAAGATGAACTAGAAACAGATGCTGCCAAAAATAATCATGTTCAAGAAGCAGAAGCATTAGCTTGTAGTGTCCAATCACAAGAAGAGGAAGTAAATTCAGAAGACATTCCAACAGCAAAAACAGTCATAGATGAACCCAAACAGACAGCAGAGCATCTCCCAGAAGTCAGTGCTGAACCAGAAAACAAAGAACTACCAGTGAATGCTGTCAAAACAGAACATCAGAATGTTCAAAAACCAGAAATATTAGATGCTGTTCAAACACCCACATTAAATTCAGAGGATGGCAGTGTTCAATCACTTGAAAAAGAGGTAAATTCAGAGGATGTTCCCAAGGCAAAAACAGTTACAGATGAACTCAAAGAGGAGACAATACCACTCATTGAAGTCAATCTTGAGCAAGTGGACGCTTCTAACACTGAACATGTTCATCAAGCATTAAAAGCTGTACAATCAACCACATTAGATTTAGGGGCTGGTAGTCTTCTATCAATTGAAAACGAAGAAATGTCAGAGGATATTCTAGTAGTGGAAACAGTTACAGATGAACCAAAGCAGGAAATTGAAGTGAGGTTTGAGCCAAAAGAAAAAGCTGCCAAAACTGAAAATGTTCAAGAACCTGACGTATTACCACCTGATGTAAAACATATTGTACCTGAAAACAAAACCGAGGAAGGGGCATCAATGTATGTACATGGACTCACACAAAGTACAGTGGGAGGCAGTACTCAGGAACTTGAAAAGTTTGTATTGTTAGAAGATATTTCCAAACCAGAAGATGACATTGTAATTGAGAGTGAAGTTGTGGCACAACTGAGTCAATCTTTAGAGATAACAGAGGATCAGAGTATCCCACAAGATGCTGAGCAGGAAGAATGCATCCCTGAAGTTGTAGACATGTTACAAACATTAACAGCAGTTCAGTTATCCTCCGTAAATGAGGAGGCAAGTAATGTTCAGGTCCTAGAAAAGACTGTCATTTCTGAAGAAACCACAGTACCTTGTTTAGACAATGCTGCAGTTACAGATGAACACAAACATGAAGTCCGTCTCAGTGTAGTCCAAGTCAGTGTTGAGGGAGAAAAAGAAAGTGAATATCCAAGCATTGAGATCCCAAAACGAGAAACTGAATTGATGATTGAGCTGGAAGAAAAAGTAGTTCAAGAACTACAAATATTGCCATCTGAAGTACAAGATATTGTAACTGAAACTAAAACTGAGGAAGGGGCATCAATGTACATGCATGTAGTCACAGAAAGTACTGAAGGAGGCAGTGCTCAGGAACTTGAAAAGTTTGTATTGTTAGAAGATGTTCCCACACCAGACGCTGACAATGTCATTACTTCAATAACAGATAAAACTGAGAGTGAAGTTGTGTCACAACTTGATCAGCCTTTAGAGATATCAGGGGAGCAGAAAACTGAGAGTATCCCACAAGATGTTGAGCAGGAAAACTGCATCCCTGAAGATGAAGATGAGTTACAAACATTACCAGCAGTTAATGTATCTTCTATAAATAAGGACACAAGTAATGTTCAGGTCCTAGAAAAGACTGTCATTTCAGAAGAGACCCCAGCACCTAGTGTAGACAATGCTGCAGTTACAGATGAACACAAACATGAAGTCCATCTCAGTGTAGTGCAAGTCAGTGTTGAGGGAGAAAAAGGAAGTGAACTTAAAAGCACTGATATCCCAAAACAGGAAATTGAAGCGAGGGTTGAGCCAGAAGAAAAAGTACCAGTGGAAGATGCCAAAACTGAACATGTTCAAGAACTACAAGTATTGCCATCTGAAGTACAAGATATTGTAACTGAAACTAAAACTGAGGAAGGGGCATCAATGTACATGCATGTAGTCACAGAAAGTACTGAGGGAGGCAGTGCTCAAGAACTTGAAAAGTTTGTATTGTTAGAAGATGTTCCCACACCAGACGCTGACAATGTCATTACTTCAGTTACAGATGAAACTGAGAGTGAAGTTGTGTCACAACTGGATCATCCCTTAGAGATATCAAGGGAGCAGAAAACGGAGAGTATCCCAAAAGATGTTGAACAGAAAGACTGTATCCCTGAAGATGTAGACGAGTTACAAAGAATAACAGCAGTTCAGTTATCCTGCGTAAATGAGGAGGCAAGTAATGTTCAGGTCCTAGAAAAGACTGTCATTTCTGAAGAAACCGCAGTACCTTGTTTAGACAATGCTGTAGTTATAGATGAACACAAGCATGAAGTCCGTCTCAGTGTAGTGCAAGTCAGTGTTGAGGGAGAAAAAGGAAGTGAACTTAAAAGCATTGATATCCCAAAACAGGAAATTGAAGCGAGGGTTGAGCCAGAAGAAAAAGTACCAGTGGAAGATGCCAAAACTGAACATGTTCAAGAACTACATGTATTGCCATCTGAAGTACAAGATATTGTAACTGAAACTAAAACTGAGGAAGGGGCATCAATGTACATGCATGTAGTCACAGAAAGTACTGAGGGAGGCAGTGCTCAAGAACTTGAAAAGTTTGTATTGTTAGAAGATGTTCCCACACCAGACGCTGACAATGTCATTACTTCAGTTACAGATGAAACTGAGAGTGAAGTTGTGTCACAACTGGATCATCCCTTAGAGATATCAAGGGAGCAGAAAACGGAGAGTATCCCAAAAGATGTTGAACAGAAAGACTGTATCCCTGAAGATGTAGACGAGTTACAAAGAATAACAGCAGTTCAGTTATCCTGCGTAAATGAGGAGGCAAGTAATGTTCAGGTCCTAGAAAAGACTGTCATTTCTGAAGAAACCGCAGTACCTTGTTTAGACAATGCTGTAGTTATAGATGAACACAAGCATGAAGTCCGTCTCAGTGTAGTGCAAGTCAGTGTTGAGGGAGAAAAAGGAAGTGAACTTAAAAGCATTGATATCCCAAAACAGGAAATTGAAGCGAGGTTGAGCCAGAAGAAAAGTACCAGTGGAAGATGCCAAAACTGAACATGTTCAAGAACTACATGTATTGCCATCTGAAGTACAAGATATTGTAACTGAAACTAAAACTGAGGAAGGGGCATCAATGTACATGCATGTAGTCACAGAAAGTACTGAGGGGCAGTGCTCAGGAACTTGAAAAGTTTGTATTGTTAGAAGATGTTCCCACACCAGACGCTGACAATGTCATTATTTAGTTACAGATGAAACTGAGAGTGAAGTTGTGTCACAACTGGATCAGCCTTTAGAGATATCAAGGGAGCAGAAAACGGAGAGTATCCCAAAGATGTTGAACAGAAAGACTGTATCCCTGAAGATGTAGACGAGTTACAAAGATACAGCAGTTCAGTTATCCTGCGTAAATGAGGAGGCAAGTAATGTTCAGGTCCTAGAAAAGACTGTCATTTCTGAAGAAACCGCAGTACCTTGTTTAGACAATGCTGTAGTTATAGATGAACACAAGCATGAAGTCCGTCTCAGTGTAGTGCAAGTCAGTGTTGAGGGAGAAAAAGGAAGTGAACTTAAAAGCATTGATATCCCAAAACAGGAAATTGAAGCGAGGGTTGAGCCAGAAGAAAAAGTACCAGTGGAAGATGCCAAAACTGAACATGTTCAAGAACTACATGTATTGCCATCTGAAGTACAAGATATTGTAACTGAAACTAAAAGTGAGGAAGGGGCATCAATGTACATGCATGTAGTCACAGAAAGTACTGAGGGAGGCAGTGCTCAGGAACTTGAAAAGTTTGTATTGTTAGAAGATGTTCCCACACCAGACGCTGACAATGTCATTATTTTAGTTACAGATGAAACTGAGAGTGAAGTTGTGTCACAACTGGATCAGCCTTTAGAGATATCAAGGGAGCAGAAAACGGAGAGTATCCCAAAAGATGTTGAACAGAAAGACTGTATCCCTGAAGATGTAGACGAGTTACAAAGAATAACAGCAGTTCAGTTATCCTGCGTAAATGAGGAGGCAAGTAATGTTCAGGTCCTAGAAAAGACTGTCATTTCTGAAGAAACCGCAGTACCTTGTTTAGACAATGCTGTAGTTATAGATGAACACAAGCATGAAGTCCGTCTCAGTGTAGTGCAAGTCAGTGTTGAGGGAGAAAAAGGAAGTGAACTTAAAAGCATTGAGATCCCAAAACAGGAAATTGAAGCGAGAGTTGAGCCAGAAGAAAAAGTACCAGTGGAAGATGCCAAAACTGAACATGTTCAAGAACTACAAGTATTGCCATCTGATGTAAAAGATATTGTAACTGAAACTAAAAGTGAGGAAGGGGCATCAATGTACATGCATGTAGTCACAGAAAGTACTGAGGGAGGCAGTGCTCAGGAACTTGAAAAGTTTGTATTGTTAGATGTTCCCACACCAGACGCTGACAATGTCATTACTTCAATAACAGATAAAACTGAGAGTGAAGTTGTGTCACAACTTGATCAGGCTTTAGAGATATCAGGGGAGCAGAAAACGGAGAGTATCCCACAAGAAGTTGAGCAGGAAAACTGCATCCCTGAAGATGTAGATGAGTTACAAACATTACCAGCAGTTAATTTATCTTCTATAAATGAGGCGGCTAGCAATGTTCAGGTCTTAGAAAATACTGACAATGACAATGCTGCAGTTACAGATGAACACAAATATGAAGACCATGAAAGTGAACTTCCAAGTACTGAGATAAAGACTGTTGCAATTGAGCATGCCGTAGTGGCGCAAGTAGTCACATGCAATCTCAAGGAGGTGTTGGTTGCAATACCTGATGTTTTGATAGAGAAAACATCAGACATTACTGAACCCTTGATAGATAGAATGGCAAGTGAGCAAGTATTCAGGGAGGAAGTTGAGAGCGCCACACCATTAGTGAAAGATGAGGAAGGCAGTCTTGAAACAGTTGTGGAGTCACTGCTAGAGGTAGGGGTAACAGAAGCCAAAGAAGTCATTGATGTTTGTCATGAAACAGTTAAAAGGGTAGAAATTCTCTCCACAACTCCAGAGACTGAAGAGGGATTAATTAATGAGGAAAAGCATGTGACCATTCAAGAAGTTTTTCAACATATAAAGGAGAACTTACCAGAGACAGTACCTCAATCAGTGGTTGTCAGCTTTGAACAAGAAGTCAAACAACATCACGATGCCATGACAGAAGTGAGTGAATTGGTTGAAAGTGAATCAAATGAAATGAAGGATCAAGAAGCAATGAAGAGTAGTATTGGAACATTGAGGGGAAGACAAGAAGCACCCACTGTCATGAATGATGAGTTTGCAACTGAACAAGTGTCAGATGATTGCATGCAAACATCTGATATTCCAGGAAGTTTAGATGTCTCCATTCATGGTCACAAAGAAGATTTGGATGTAACTAAAGATGAATGGGAACAATCAGAAGCAGGCGTCACAGCAAATGAGGTCAAACCACCATCAGAGGAATTAGACGTGAAAACAAATTCTGAACAAGCACCAACTCCACAAATTGCTCAAAGTCTGATTGTAACACCTAGTAACACGGGATTAGTAATACCCCAAAACACTGGAATAATCTCGTCAATAGGTAATGTGGAGTCCCCTTCAAGTCTTTCTTTAGAATTCAAACTTAACATACAGTTTGGGCAAGCAAAGGCACCAGCTTCCTCATCAACAACAACAGAGAGAACAGAACCTGTGAAACAGATGTCTGAGGTTGGAGTTCAGGCAGTAGAGGCCGTTAAACCAATAAATTTAACACAAAGAGATGAGAGCCAGAAACAGACAGAGCTAACTGAGGTTGCTGTTCAGGTAATCACAGAACCAGCGACACACTTAGATTCAACAGAAAGACCCGTAATCACGTCTCAACCTGTACTGCTGGATATCGGCATCCAAGCGATGGAAAAAGTAGGATCCGAAGAACAAATCAAATCAACAGATACAGAAATCTCCAGTGTCCAGGCAACAGAAACATTACAGGCAGTAGGGCAAACAGAGAAAATAGAAGTGTTCTTGAGTCAGCCAGTACTCTCTGAAGGTTGTAACCAAGAAACAAAAGCAGAGGAGCCTGTTAAACAAGAGGAGGAAAATGACCAGGATGTGTGGATGGATGCTGAGGAAGTCATTTATACTCAAAAGGAAACAGAGGTGTCCCTTTTTGAGGTGGAGGAATCTCCAGGGCCTCAGGCAGAAAGTAACACAGAGGAAAAAGCAGGACTTCAACACGAGGTTGAAATGGCTTCTTATTCCAAGACTGAAGAAGATGGAAGTCAACAAGAAATGCACAGAACAGGAGGAATGTGTGAAATTGAGAGTGACGGTGAAGATTTTGCTGTTGCACTTGAGCATCCTGAAACGGCAACTGCAAGCATCACTACGATGGAGTGGGATTAATTTTGTTCACTGTCACTGACCGGTAAGCCTGTCCCTTTACTCGTTTGGCCCATTAATCGACTTACTTTGACTGAAATCACACTCATTGCAATATCCAAATTAATTAATATCATGCTGCATTTTTTTGTGTTTTTCTTTTAAGGTGGGACAATCAAAAAGGACCGGTAGAGGAAAACTACAGGAAACAGAATTTTGCTACTTTATTTTGAAATTATGTTCAGCCAAATATAAACCAACATTTATTGGTAAACCTTGTGATTGTGAAGATTATTTTATTAATAGCATAAGGTGTGTGGTCAGAGAGATCTGGCAAGAGAAGCATCAACCGGAAAAGTACTTATCTTCTCAGGTGGTATGAAGTATGATTCTAGACAGTAAAATACTAATTTTAATAAATCGAATTAATTCTTTGCTATAGAGTGCAATCTATCACCTATCATGTAAAGTATTTTCAATCATAAATCATATTTTTGCAAAGATCTATATCGATCAATTTTTTATTTGAATATATATGTATGAGGAGAATAAGACATCATTTTCATTTCATTTGAGTTAGCTTTTTTTTTTTTTTTTTTTTTTTAAGTAACATAAATTCATAATGTATGTGACCCAGACACGGGACATATGTTCATTTCTCTCTCAAGGATGCTACTATTATATTAGTATATGTAGATATTTCAGAGCCTTTACTATATATCTGTGTTCGTAAGTCATTTTGTCATTCAGTTTGTGTTTCATAATTTCACTTAAATATATGTTCCCATGGGATCTATGCAGTATATACAATAGGCAGACCTGAGCATACTAGTATTACTGTATATTACAAATGTTTTAATGCTCATACAGGCAGAAATGCACTCATTTTGAATGTACAAGAATTTCTACTGTGAGAAGTTTTAAAATACGAGCATGATGAGAGCATGGCACATGTATGGAAAATTTTGTATTTCACAAATTGAAATTGAATATAATAGATTAAATTTGTATTATTACAGTTTCAGAGGAATTCCAGATTTAGTTTTCAAATACAGCTTCAACTCTGAAGCATTCATCCGGAGGACTCCATACTAGAATACGAGAGCTCCAATTCAATCCAACACCTTTCAAAGGACTTCTTTGGACCGCAAATTCAAAACTACTAAACTCAGATTCAATTTGTGCTGTCACTAAAATAACTCCATACACATCATGGTTAAAAAAGTAATCATTTACACATTATTGATTTGAAGTTAAATTAATCTTCACATAAGTATCCATCAATATAATTATAATCAGCAGAGCCTTAAACTTTAACAATCATGGCAGCTTTACTTTACCAGTTTTAATTTCCGAGCTGTTTGTGTGTAAGCTTATAGTATCATATCTTATTATTATTATATCAATCATACCATAGGTTCAGTAAGTGTGTGGTAAGGATGAGAGAAGAAATTGGTCAAGACAACCTTTTGTGTCAGCCATTTTTCCTCTCTGGATTTTTCTTCCACATATACTAACTTTTATGGAAAATTCTTGCTGATCTGATATGCGTTTATGTTCACTAATGACTAAATGTAAAACATAAACCTGTGTTTATATATTTACATACATATTTACCAGTGTTTTATTAATAAAATATTATTTTATTTGAATAAATTCATACATGTATGTACTTGTATTGTATTGCAAATCCTTTTATATTGAAACTTCTGGTGAAGTAAGCTTCAGACATTCTATTTAACTAATAATCTCAACTCAGTAAATTGATATTTTACATGCAAACACTGACACACAACTGGCAAACATTTAAAACAACATTTAAAGTAGACACTTTATTCAATCTACTATAACACAGCGCTCACAGTTGGCGTTAACGGACTTGATCGCATCTTGCTTTCTTTTTCCTACTGCTAGTGTTTCGGTCAAAAGAATAATGTCACATGTCAAGGTGTGACTCTCTGCCCTTGTGTCCCAATTATGTGCTTTAAAAAACAGTATCTTTCATAGTGAAACAGATTCATACAGTTTTGCTCATAACTTAAAAGTGCAATAAACAGTGTTAAACATAAATGCAGCAAACAAAGCCAAAATAAAGCTGTGTGGCCAACTGATCCCAAAATTAACAAGTCTGTTTTATTTTAGCAAATACAATCCTGCAGGGCCATGACCTTCAGTAAAACAGTACTGAAATGGTAAAAAAAAAAAAAAGAAAAAGGAAAAAATTATTTATTGTGTGTTTTTGAAATGCATCTATTGTACAACAGGAACAGTAAGACATTCAAAATTAATTAGGTCCATTTCACAATTTTAGTTGCTTGAAGAAAATATTACTGACAAAGTACCTTTGTATAGTGCAGCATTCTTTCACAGGAACTTCTACTGCCTCTATTTGTGCTTTGTTGGTGGAGCAGTTTAGAAGATCATTTTTGAAAGTTCAAACAAAACCTACAATGAAAACAAGCATTGGCTGTTATTATTATTTAACTTAAATGGCTGTATGCATTCTTAACTACAAAAAATTTAACAAATTAGCTTAAAAATAAAATTCATCAGAGAAAGTTAAAGAATAATTTTCTCCTATAATTAATACACCAAAATATACACCAATGTCCAAAAATGTAAGACTAATTGCAAGGTGAAGATGAATACAGTTTTAAAATAAAGCGCACTTTGGATAAAACATCATATTCTCACACATCAGGCAGATTTCTTACCTCAATAGTAATGAGGATGACTATCATCCACTCCAACCTCAAGCTGTGCTTCTCACTCAGGTGGCTCCTCATCAGATCTGTTAACTGTGTACAATGTTCCAGCTTCTCATTCACAACCTAAAAACACAGAAAATGTTTCTATAAAAAACAAAGCACATGCCCCCTTGTCACTGAGTGTAAGAATGAGTCTCTATATTACAACTATTGTGCCTCAATATCTCTCAGAGTATATTTATTTACATTGACTCTGCGGTTGATGCTGAGGAATTGGCAGGTCTTGTCATAGAGTTTTTCCAGGTTTTCTCGGTCCCAGTAGAAATCAGGTGTGAGGAGCAGGTCAGACCTCAGGTTTATACAGTGTCTGTCAGAGAAGGAGGTAAATACAAAAGGGTTTTAAACACAGTCTGTCCTCCTGGAGTTTGAAAATATAACAATAGTTATTGCATTTACAGAATATCTGGTAGAACTGCTAAAAACCTGAGCTGTTCAACATAATAAACTGAGTAAAAACTAACATGACAATTATGTGTTACGTATGGCAATTACAACAAAATACATGGATATCAACAAATATGTGTCTAACCTGAAAGAAACAAAACTGAATTGACAAAAAACTATGTGAGGTTCCAAGCTGATTGTCAGGAATGATTTGGCTCATTGTAAAACCTCAAAAACAAAAATAGAAAAGTTGCTGTTCCCTCTCAAATAACTGCTATTTAGAGAAAATTGAATTTACCTTAACGTGAAAAGCTCTCCTATCTTCTTCATCACTTCTGCAGAGGACAACTTAACTCTTTTACCAGACTTCAGCGTCTGAGGCAAAAAATAGATTAGGACATTGGCATTAAGGGGATGCATGATCTGCTTCAGACACAAACAAACAACCATTACAGATAATCAATTATTCATCATTTATTGCTGCCTGCTGTACCTCCGGGATTGATTGAATTGACTCTACAAAGTTGTCTAATGACACCTCCCATATCGCAAGCTTCACTGGAAAAGAAAGCAAGAGGTTACACTCAGACAAGAGGCTGAGTACAATGCAACCACAAAACAGTAAAATATTTATGATTTATAATTGAGGCGCAGCTTCTTACCCGACAAACATAGTGCATTTGAAAATGCAAACTTCTCCAAAACGGCTTCATGTTGATCCATCTTGTCACTCAGAATAAAGTTGCCGCGCTCAAGCTTTGTATTTCCCCTGAAGAAGAAAATAAGTCAATTCTACAAAAAGGTATATAAAGTCTTATAAAGTACATATAAACAAAAACAACACAAGAGTGAAGATCAACATACTCTCCAAGTATGTAGTTAATTTCCTCATTTTCCCAGTGGACTAATGCTACTTCATAGGGCTGGATCTCATGATGTTCCAGTACCCTCATCACCTTTTTCATCTGTAGAAACAGTGAAAAAAAACTACAATGTAAAAGAAGTATGCTACAATAGAGAAGTAAACAAGAATTACAATTAGTGAAATATTATACTTTATAAAATATATATGGTTTTGTTTACCGTTTTCTCCTCAACATTCCAGAAAACTACTGAGCCTTCCCTGAAAGTTCAGATTGCGAAAGTCAATCCGTGATTTCCAAAAAACAAAACAAAACAAAACGTTACTAAAACACTATAACTAGGCTTTTTAATTTTTACAATACCAATGCCAATACCATACTTGGGTTTTAGTAACAACTCCAAAATCTTTCAATAACTTACTTGAGAAATATTAACCTAATTTTCTACAACCCTCTTCTTCATTTAACAAAACATGCCAAGCTATTAGTGTTTCATTGTTCATGGTAGCGTTAACGCAAGGAGTCAAATTCCATAATAAAAACCTTCTTAAACTTAAGTTATTATTTTTATCAAGAATTATTTGATCAAAGAAAACTTTTTGAAATAGTTTTTGAAACTGGATTCTAGGGACACACATTTCTGTAAGTACCCAAAAAGTATTGTCGTTTGATACCCACCTTATCTATAACCAATGTGAAGCACTACATATTGAATAATCCTTATAAATAATTTAGCATCAAGACAAAACCTAAAACTTTGAAATCAGAATACTTATTTTCTACCTGAAGAAGAACATTAGAGCATCGTCATCTGGTTTTGCTGCCATGTCTGTGCTTATCACCAGCACATTTGAGGCATCTGAAATTAAAACATGCTTGTCATAAAATATGTTATGTGTTGCAAGCAATATATATAACATTTACTTCCCTGGAAAGCTGTAATCTAGGAATAATTTAGAGTCATACCTCTTGGTAAATCTATCTCTTGGAAGCCGTGGCTTATCAAGTCGTGGCAAAGTGTTGGCAAATGATACTGATCTGCTGTTGCAAAGGCAATACATTGCATCATGTCCTACAGAGAAATCAATGTTGAATTAATCACATAACAAAAACATGACATGTATCAATACGTACATTCTTCTAGTGACTGGCAGAATCACCTTGTCTTCATTCAAAGAAGGCTGATTAGCTCTAGAGGGTTGTTTTGTTCTCGGTCCTTTGGGAACCCTTTTTCCCGGAACCATTGCTGGTTTTAGACTGGGTTTTAACACTGACTTCACAAGGTCGGGTGAATAAAAACGCTTCTGTCCACATTTAGTCAGTATCCCATGGTCAGTAAACAAAGGGCCGCTGAGACTTTTAAATCCACCTGAAGCAGGCAGAACATGTCTTATTTGCTTCTGCGGTTGGTGAAGAGGATTCAAAGAACAGGTCCTTGAAAAGGTCCATGTGTCAGACCAGTTTAAAGTCCTGGGCTTGGATTCATACTTGTGTGACTGGACAGACTGGGACAGACTGGCAGTGGCACAGATGCAGACTGGTTTTCTCTCTACAGGCCCAAGAGCTCCCACTCTGGGCCACAACATCCGGAGAAGCATCTTTACCATGGACAGCTGTACAGGTGAGCTACAACACAGGAAACAGCTGGTAACGTTAAGTTTACCCTCAGCAGATGCATCATGACATGTTATGCTCTAATTTAATAACAACACAAGCATTTCAGAACTAACGTTATGTGAGCCAACTTGGAGCTACTAGCAAATGGATTTACACTTAAAATATTTAATTAAATCCAATGTGAATACAAAAATAGGATTCAAAAACACGCAAGACTGACCTTGACTACATTAGCAATAAATATCCTCACTAGTAGTCTAGTGACGATTTACCCATAGTAAGTAAACAGTGCTCTATACCCGGTGCTTAACGTTTCTTTAAGAAGAAGCAAACAGAAGTGGTTAACGTGCTACTGCAAGTCAGTGTGTAGCTGATGTGTTAGCCGTTAGCTGTTTGTTAGCTTACCAGTGAATTAAATGAAAAAAGTAGCGATTCCAAACCATTTGATTTTAAAAAGTATTCAACACGTCAGGAAACGGTAGTTACGGGAAACGCTGTGACAAAATATAATTACTGACTTAACATTGCTAACTACATGACACCTTTGCGTGACATACAGAGGAGGAGTGTTCGGTGTGTGCTAATAAAGTTTGTTGCAGCTGAGATGACGTAAAAATTTGAGGAACAGCTGCCCGGAACGATGACTGGCAGGCTGGCTGGCAGGTAACATGCTGTTAAGCCTAACTCACGCTGTAGGGCCCACATACAGAATATTGCTCCTTTTTTATAATTTTTGTGGGGGATCGCCCGCTCCAACTGTCCCTAAAATCAAATTTTCATATAGGTTTAGGTTATTTGAGCTATGCCAAGTTCATTAACTAGCGGTGCCATTTTGGCCACCACATCTTTGGTTTAGCTCTGTCCCCTCAATTGGTGTCTTCTATCTACTGTTGGCTGTTCCATGAAAGCATAAAATGCCACCCCAAAATTTATATGTAACTTATATTTAAACACGAAGCCAGTGGTTTCCAACCTACACTGTTCCACAAAAGATTTTTTGCATTTTCTTGTGAAATACTGTAGCCTATATCTGCTGGGCTAAAGCACTCTCATGTCCACACTACAGTCTATGGTCCACACTGAGGTAATTTCATGTAAGAAAGGGCCACAAATCAGACATTTCTTAATTTTAAGGGTCCAGGAGCTGAAAAGGCTGGGGACCACTACAATAGGCTGCTGTGCACTATTTAGTATGTTTGCCATCTTAAGTGCTTGCTTATTTTTTTTACGTAAAAATGACGGCATTCTATATGGTTTACTTACATCATTCTGCAAAGCAAGGTACAAACTAAAGGCTTATGAACTGACCAAGTGGCAACTACCATCATGCCTTGCACCGAACCTGATAGACTTGGTGCTTAGAGGAAGGGTTACCTGAAAGTCTGAACTCAGGAGGAAATTAAATTCAAACCAGTTAAGTTGACCTTCACTTGCATCTTCATCAGCTTCTTGCTTTTGATCTTTCTGTTATTCCGTGCATTTGCTTGACTTGTTAAATACTTTAAAGGCTCTAGTTTACTTTTGATTTTACTCTAAATATCAATTTTGTTCGTAATCGATAACATTTTCTAGATGTCAGACATTCTCAGCTACAGCGCCCCCCCCTTGGTGGAGCCTGGCATAGCCTGTGTTTGGTGTTGCCAGGAGACTTATTAAAACAGACAGAAGTCTCTACTGTATATTCACTTCCCTGCAACACTTCTAATTATGGAAGTTATGGAAAGCTCTGATGAGGTATGCTAACACAACAGAAATGTATATGACCTCTTTTTATGGTGTACGGTTATGAGCTAAATTGCACTTAATGTTGGCAGCTTCTTGGGTTTTAATTTTTCAAAATGTCCTATCACAGAATTTATAACAAATTTCTAATGATTTTTTTTAATGATTAGGTGGACCAGTCCCATGAGAGAGAGAGGCTGAAGATGAGAATAGCTGTTTTAGAGGAGAGTATGAAGTCCTGTGAGATTGAGTGTAAAGCCAGCAGAGAGACGGTACTGAGGCTTGTGGCAGAGCTGGATCGAGAAAGGAGGAAGGCTGCCGGTAGTGCAGCAGCACTCGATTCCCTCAAAGTGGTGCTTTCACAGCTTTTAAACGTTCCTAACTTAAGTGTAGAGTACAACTAGTTGACAGTATATTTACATTTGTGTTTTTTTGTCTTTTTTTCTTTTTCTTTTTCAGGAGTTAGATGGCCTGTTGATGGGAAGGAGGAGTGTTGAGGCGGAGAAGGAAACCCTAGTGGAGAGGCTTGGGGCCAGCAAGAGGGTCATACAGGCAACTAGGCGAGAGTCACATTGTTTGGAGAAACAGGTGGAGGAGCTTGAAAGAAAGCTACAGTCAAGCAAAGGAGAGACACAGGCTGCTGAGGAGAAACTACAGATGTTCCTGAAAAAGGTGGCAGGCCTGCTGCAGGGAAAGTCTGAAAATGTCGTCCTGCCCACAGAGAAAGATATTTTACATAAAGTGGATAACCTCTGCAATAAGGTGAGAAAACAAAGTTGTGATTTCTGTCTCAACTTCGCCGAACTCCAAGGTGCATGGAGAAAGGAAATAGTCTTAAAAGGTCAAAACTCCAGCAACACATGTAATATGAACACCTTTATTGCGAGACCAACATGTGACCTTCACCAGGTTCACATTAAAGTTCTTCTTTTTTACTACTTTTAATACACTTACTTGTTGTGTTGTTGTGTTGCTGGAGTTTTGGCCAAACAAGGTGAGGAACTAAAACATTTCATAGCCTGTCATAGGCTTTTTGAACTCTCACTCACAACTTTGAAAGGGTAACATTTCAGTGACTAGGCAAATTATTATTTTATGTATAATAAAAAGTGATAAAATATCATGTAACAACAAGTAACAAGTAACAAATCCACAATTGGAAAAAATACTTGGTTACAAGTAAAAGTCATGCATTCAAAACCTTACTTAAGTAAAAGAACATATCAGTAAAATTTAATTACATTTCAAAATAAAAGTGCTATGTAGCCAAAATGGCCTTTGTCAGTGTGACATTGTCATTTATTAAACTACTGGATTATTGTTTCTGATGCATTAAAATCTAAGCACCTTTTTAATGTTATAGTAATTTGCTCTGGTAGAGCAAATTTTACAAATTCTTTATACTTTTGTTTACTTTATAACAAGGCCTTGTATTTTATATGTTCATTACAGGTTTAAATATTAAGTTAATTAAGCAACTAGTGTATTTAGTTACTTTCCAATGCTGGTCTCCACATTTACCTTTACATTAAATCTTGGGTGTCCATCTCTCAAAGAGGTGCTTCTACTCTAACATAAACACTAACATTCTTACTACATGTTTTGGAGGCAGTCTTTGTCAGAGATGGAGGCCAGGCTCTGTCATGTTTCTGAGGAGCTGAGCGAGCAGATGGAGCTGCAGAACAGTGTACTACAGAGGGCTCAGCTTGCAGAGCAGCAAGTCCAGGACCTGAGGGAGAGACTGCAAGGTCTGGAGACTGAGCTGTTGAAAGCAGACATGCATTGTGACGGGCTGAGACACAGCAAACAGCATGTGAGTAAAGTCATAGTAACAGGGGGAAAGAAGTTACATTTACAGGTAAATATGAGAGAATTATACATTCAATTATCCATGATTACTGTACATTTTTAACAGTATGAAGAGTTCCTGGAAAAGCTGTCAGGGACAATGAAGGTGGACAGTATTGCTGTGGATCTAGGCTTCGACATGAGGCTAAAACTCATCCTGTCACGTGTAGAGCAGCTTGTTAAACAAGAGGCAACTGCTTTGGTGGAAAGCAAAAGTCTGACCTACAGTCTACAGCGAAAGGTAGACTACATAAGTAGCTAGTTGTGGTATCACTGGCATTTGGAGCAAAATTACTGTCAGTTTTATCATCATTAGATAAAACAAAAGGCCTTAAACAACCAATCACAAGCTTCTACAGGTGTATTGGTGAAAACCTTTTAAATGCACAATTTAAATGCGCAAATGCAAAACAGTTGGCGTGTTGGCATGACCAGCGAAACACCTGTAATCAAAATATTCCTGTTTCCAACAGTTAAAGTCACAGAAAGACCAACTAGAGAGCAAAGGACTCCACATCCAGCTCCTGAGGAAGAAGGTGTCCGAACTGGAGGAGGAGAAGAGGAGAAGATCAGTGTTGGCTGTGGAACGAGATGATGCACATCTCGAGACCAGGAGGCTGCAGAAAAAACTGGAGCGTCTTCAAGGCGAGCTCAAGGCCACCAAGATGTCCAACACTGAGCTCAAGGCCCAGCTGTCCCACACCAATGAGCTCAAGGTAGAGGGGAGAAGGGTTCAGGCCCACATTCAATCAAGAAGCATTTCCACCTCATAATCTTTTACTGTGTGGGTGGGTGAAAGGGTAATGCTTTGTATTTGTGCACCAATTATGTAAAGCAGATTGGTTTTAGAAACAACAGTGTATATTTTTAGTATCAGAGTATTGAGAGTGTTAAGCCAACCTGGTCTTCACTAAACACCTCTGTCTGACGTGGCAAGTTAAAAGTCATGGAACACAGTCAGACCATGCAGGAGCAGAAAAAGAGGCTGGATCAGCTGGTGGAGGGGAAGGCCAAGGTGGAGAAGAAGCTGAACATAGTGAGCTTAGACCTACAGAGCCAAGAGACGAAGACCAGAGAGGACCAGCAACAACTCAACACCCTCAGACAGAGCCTGGCACAGCTGTCTGAGAGGGAGAGAGAGGTAAGAGAACAATGAATATGAAAAGTTTGGTATCAGTCTGTATCTTGTCAGCTTTAATGGTTTAGTTGGCTCTAGTCAGTTTCGTTTCCACCCGCAGCAGAAAACGGTTTTATGCAAAAAAACTCCAGAAAAGGCCACTGTACACTATCAGCCCAGCACCAAGCAGTAGACAAATAAAGTTAACAACTAAGTGGTCAACAGACATCTCGATATTTCCCTCAAGTGGTGGTGACCAAAATAGAGCTAAAAGTGAGGACTTGGAGTCATCAAGTGGCCTGAAACATAACTTCAGATGAATGATATATTCTGTATATTCTGCATGTCTACACAGGCAACTGTTTGCTTACAGAGATATAAACTTAAAAGGTAAAATGACTATGTTGTGTTTTAAACTTGTCAAAGTCAATTACAGTCTTAAAAAGCATCAGAGATATGGTATTACCGCAAGTATTACTCTGTGTATTTAAAAGACTGTTAATCAGTTCAGGAGCGGTAGGCATAGTGTGCTGATTCATATATACAGTTTATGAATTTAAAATCAAACTCAGATGTTGTCTATTTTCTCCATTGTTTAGTTGGTGAATTTCCGAATGGTTGTTTCCCAGATGTTGGGTCTGGATGCCACAGACCTGGCTCTTCCAAATCATGAAATCATCAAATTACTGGAGACCTTTCTTCACACTCATCATCACCATCACCACCTTCATCATGTTAATATGCCCTGGCACTGTCCTACTCACCAGAGGCCTCATCTCCCTCAAGTCCACGAGCTTCCTGACAGCTCCTTGGGTGTCTCTACCTCCAGGTCTGCTTATCTAGGGGATGCAGTTCCCCTTCATGAAGCCTAGGTTTATACATTATACTTATGCCAAACTGCACTTAAAATGTAAAAGGTACAATTGTGGTCTAAACACTATATGAAAATAGACCTTACACAGTATAAAATGCTCTATCAAACATCATGTTTTTCTTATTTGTGTTTTCAGGAAAAGCTCAGTATATATATGATTCACTGAACAAATAGTAGACATGTATAATCACATTAAAACAATTAAATAAAAAGACAAATTTCAAAATGAGGATTTGGCATTCATTGTTTTTCATGGTCGCATATACATATATTTATCATTTTCATTTTTTTTACCATTATATATACATGTTAAATAATCCTTGACTGTTATACATTTAATACTGGTAACCATCATACAAAATATACAATAGTTATATATGTCATAATTCTCAGTCATAAAGTTTTATATTTCGTTTAAAAAATAAAACAGCAAAATGTATAAAGACCATGGATTGACATGTTAAAGGTTTAACTCTTGAATTGCTCTGATATTAAAACACACATTAAAGAATGAATTAAATGAAATGAAATCAACATAATTCAACTTTAAAATGTTGACACAATGAGGGATGTAAGTAAATAAATGCAGAGATCAGAACAGCATGCAAAAATACAGGTAAAAAAATAACTGTAATGTAAGATATCTTAAATATTTTTTGTGTTTTTTTGGTTCTAGTTTTTTTAACAAACTTTTGAGTTACAAGCTAATTCACTAAATTTCAGCATTTAACTTTGGTGCTATTCACTGACAGATCCCTTCAGAGAAATACAATATGTGGTATATGCCAGTGAGTTGATGACCAGTTCATCCAGCAATGTCCACTGTAGGCAAAAACAGTTTCTTCAGTTTTGTTACACCAAAGAGGCTCCTTAATCGACACAGCATTACACAGAGTAGCATAGTGAGATGCTTTATCCTAGGTGCTACACACAAAGACTTTAACTGTAGATGGCAGCTGTTTTACTGCAGTACAAATGGGTAATCAAGATCAGTTTTTGCCCCCAACATGATCGACCAATTAAAGGTTATCAACGTGATTCCAATTCAAGTCATACTGATGCAAGAATTCTGAAATGAAATGCTCCTACGGCCAGCCTACACTGGAGGTGGTCCATTAGTGTAGCTGAGCATCGGGTAGAAGGAATGAGCAAAGTTGTTGGACTGAGCACAGTAGTCCTCTTCGGTCATTGGCAGCAGGAAGGCGAAGACCACTAACAGGAGCAGGATGAACTGGAGAGGCAGTGCGACCCAGAGGACGCGCCACATAAACGAGGATCCACGACCCGGCAATGTTTCCAAATCAGAAGGGAAGGAAGCGGATCCAGCGTCGCTGCGAGACCTGCTGACACACACACATTCACAACGCAGCACAGACTGACGTTTAGTTACTCAGTACAAACATACAAAATCCTGCTATCTGTTTTGTCATCTGAATCCCTAATTTCAGAACTGATCCCACTGTGACAACCTTTAATAAGCCAAAATATTTTTCAGTACAAATAACAAATTAAATTAGTCTAATTTAATAAGTAAAGTTCAAATGAACTATTCTGTAATTTAATATCTTTTGTTTATATGCTTCAGTGTTACAGTGTCTACCAATTTTCAATCCAAATAAGATCTGAGTTCAGCGACAGGGGAACTGCATGACAGTGCTTGACGTAAGCACCATGCTGTGTTTGAAAGACATCACCAACACGATTCAAAGCAATGTTGGGACAATGTTTCACATTGTGATCTACATGCTGACTGAGACTGGGTGGATAAACACATTTACAAAGACAATCACAAAACAGTTTTCAAGGCATACATACTATACAATCCTGCAACAAACAAATACATTTAATATGTGAGCTTGCATTCCTTTGCAAAGGATGTTAGGATAAAAGACAAAAGGCATGCTGCAAAGTATCAGCTGTATAATCAGATTGTTTTTTAAAAGGACTCTTTGTTGTTTGTGTCCTGTAGAAAAATGCAAAGCATGCTGAGGCAAGAAGAGCATAGCAATTGGAAACAGCTTCTTTGAATTTTTTAAAATGAATAGTTTGGGGAAAATGTTGATTTGCTTTCTTCCTGAGAGTTAGATGAGAAGATTGATACCACGCACAAGTTTTTGTGTTAAATATGAAGCTAGAGCCAGGAGATAGTTGGCCTAGCTTAGTAAAAGGGAGCTAAAAAATAAAGCTCTCAGCAAGAAACAAATAGGCATTTTTCCCAAAATGTAATACTATTAATTTTACTGTATCATTTATTGTCATCATCACCCTCAGTAAAAACTGTCTTCTTTAAGCCTCAATGTAAGCTAAAGGGAATTATTGTAATGAAGCTTACATCCACCTACCTACTGTGAAAAAACATGATTTATTTCTTTATATTAGGAGAACAGGCCTGCAGTACTCTCTAAATATAATGAATTAAAGTGATCCCTGACTCCAGGAAAGCATGGACATTAGTGATGTATGGTTTTACACTCAGGTTGTCCTATGTTGCTACCAAATGTGCCCCTTACCACTTCACAAATGGAGACCTGAGAGGCAAGACTCACAGATGACAGACTGAGGGAGGGAAGATGGTGGATAGTCAGTGAAATAGCAGCAGAAGAAGAAATGTCACACGCGAGAGAGAGAGCAAGAGAGAAAGAGAAACTGCAGCCTTTGCATTGTTCATTGCAGACATTTACTGGCTCGGCAACTCGAGAAAAAGGGTGTGTGTGTGTGCTCAGGAACAGCGAGGGAGTGTTAGATATAGCGAAATATTTGTGTTATATGTCAGAAATGCCCTCTGGTTAGCAAAATTAAGCAGTCAAGGACATTGGCGGAGAAGAGGCCTTGCACCATTCCTTGTGAAACAGTTTTATCAAGGATGTGTAGGTTGCATTTCACCTCATCACCTAGCCTACACACACAGTGTCTAGACGTACAGAAGATGATGGAATTCAGTATCATGAAATGCTAATCTGGCAGTATTCAAAGCTTAAATTGAGATATTTTTAATTCTTTAAAACACTGCTGTTGTTTGAGACTTGAGGAGGATCAGAAAGCATGAATCAGCCTCCTAGTGCATCATGGGCTGATGAGTTCCATTATCTTCTGGGTGTGCTAGAAACCAACAGAAAGGTACCTGTGGTGCGGACTGCTCACAGACGTTCCAGGCTGTGACAGACTACATTTGCCCCGTTGCTGTTTGCAATGAACAGGGGGGGGGGGGTAAAAGAAAGAAAGTATGTTTCAGTCCAGGCAAAACAAGACAAAGCTACCGATGAAAAGAAATCCCAAAATGAAAGAAGTGCAGCAACAAAATCATGTGTGAAGGTGATAGATTTTGTAATTCGAACAAGGAATCTGGCTTTTCAAAGTGCGCGGCTACTTTGAAGCGCTTCAGCTTGGGAGTGCAACAAATTCATTGCAAATAGGAAGCTACAAATTATGCAATGTGATGCATGAATTTTGCATTTAGTAACATATGTAATATAAGCAGTGGCATGCTTATTTGGAATATTTAGATAAAGAATAAATCAATACTGAGGCTTTCTCATTCTTGTAGCTTACAATAGAAAACAAATATGATGTCATGCTTTCTCTATCAAAAACCCCCAGTTTCTACGTGTCTAAATTTAGCAGTTTGATGATCACCAGTATTACTAAGAATAACACTACAGGAATCAAATCAAAACCACAGTGAGAAGAAATCAGAGGAAAGTGTAGTAGGAGAAACGAGTTGTAGGACAGAAGTTTTTTAGTGTGAAAATACTGTGAGAAAACAAAACTAGCAACTAGGGCTGAACTCAAAAAGTCGTTCAAGAAAAAGGAAGGAGGAAGGAGGAAGTTAGAAAGAAAGGAATCCCCAGTTTTCTGGCAGGGTTTGCTGTGGGAATAGACCACATGCAAAAAGAGTAAAAGAGGGAGGGAGTGTAAAGAAAGTTATGGAGGTGTAGAAAGGTGTGAGGAGAGATCTTGGGATGACAGGGGTCAACATGGCCATAAACGGGGCATTTGGGGCACAAGTTCCTGTATGCATTGTCTCAGAGGGGTAAGCAAACACCTGGCTTCTCATAACGCAGCATGTATTGGTAGGTGTATACGTTACCGATCGTCGCCGACTTGGTGTACTCCTTCCTGATACAGGACTGAGGGAACCGGACGTGTCCAGCTCATCAGCAGACGACCAAGATGACAGATCCTGACAAAGGAAATGTTTAGACAAAAAGAGAGAAAATAAGAGAGAGACAGTGAGAAATACATTAAAAATCAGACAGTGGTGGGCAAATAGCGCCTGTGGGCCAAACCTGTCCCTTTAAAAAAAATAACTGGGCCCCTGGTGAAAGCTGATAGTATGTAAACGTAAAATATACAATAAATATGAAAGGCTGTTTGTAAAATCTCTAAAACTAAAAACTGCATCCACAAAGTTAAGTATCACAGTTGTACATGTGACACTGCACAGGTATATAGTAAGTGAAGATATACCTGTTGACTGCTTGTGATGTCCAGAGTCTTGGCCAGCTCTCTGAGGTCTCGGGTTACTTCCTTTAGCAGCAGTTTGAGGCGATTTCCAATAACATGAACCTTCTCCTTGGCCTCCATGCAGTCGCTGCCCTGAGAGTTGACCAGCAACTGGAGGGACATGTCTTGAAGAGAGGCGACTTTGAGCTGTGAGTCCAGCAGCTCCTGGCGGATTTGCTGTGGAGATTGTGAATTTCAGACATGAATTCTAAAAACAGTAGGAGAATTTGAGTCCATTTAATCAGGATGTATATGTTTTGCCTGGGCTCACAGTTAGTTTCCAAAACCATGACCATTCAAAGTTAAATTAGACAAAATATACTGTTTTTTTTCATGATTCAATAAACGATTTGAAAAAAGTAACCTCTATTATGTAATTTTCATTTTACAGTTTTGAATGCAATACTTGTAATAACAATTTAAGGATATAGTTTATATATTTTTTTATTTTAAGACATTATCGATTATTGTTTAATAGAGGGTAACAGGAAAGACAAAATACTGTAGGTCTAGGATGAGAAGTCAAAGGTTTTTATGTGGGAGTTAAAATATAAACTCCCACATAAAATATATAATAAAAATTGCAGTACAGTCCCTCATTGTTACTATTAAGCAAACCCCCTAGTACAATGGACTGCCATATGGCTACAACAATTTGAACGTGTATTGATTACAAAAGATAGTGTTAGTGTTCATAAATATAATGTTGTTCCACTGTAACCT